TTTGACCCACCAGTCCTGCTTTCCTCTTCAGGCATTATTAGCATTTAGGTTTAGCGTTTGATCAGTAACTGAAATATATATATATATATATATATATATATATATATATATATATATATATATATATATATATATATATATATATATATATATATATATATATATAAATATATATATATATATTTATATATATATATATAAATATATATCCTCTGCAACACCCGCAAAAAAGATAATATTTAAGAAAGGATCAATCGATTAAGTGTATGATCAGTTGATTGGTGATGTAAAAGAGCACTGTTACATTGATTAAAGCCATTAGATGCATGTTGTGGGCATATTTAACATCTTCTAAAGGTCAGGTGGTCACTGCCCACCATCCAGTCATCAGTATATATATAAAACAAAATAAAAAATAACAGATTGGATGCTCACATGTGCAGAAGAAATTAAAGGAAACAAATAACTTTTGATATTTCACTCTTGAATATTTTGTTAATGGAGAAATTGGAAGGCAGTAAGAATCAGGATCCACTCAAGATGATGAGTTGGAAAAGGATAGTTAACTCTTGTGTGAAAACCTTTGAATTAACTCAAACCTAGAAGCAGACACATCCACAGAAAATCATCCAAGGTCCTTAAAAAAAACAAAAACTAATTTTATGATAGTTAAAACAAAAACATTGTCATTGTAACTATATCGACCTTGTGAGAATCAAATTTATAATCACAGCACAAAACAGAATACTCATTTAAAAGTTTAACACAATCATGAATAATAATCAAAGGTACAAAAGCAATCACAAAATGGTTTAACTATCCAGTTTTCTCATTTACAAAAAGAAAAAAAAAATCTGTCTGAATAACATGAATTTTAACAGCACTACTTAGACTCAAGGTCTCAGCTCTGCTCACACTGCATGATAACATTAGCATTCTTAAAAAAATGTCACATCTATGAGGGCTGTACAATACAACACAAGGCAGATACACAATGCTGGAGGGGATTACGATAATTACTATCAATTTTTTAAGAACATTCCTTGCATTAATCCTGAGATAGTTTGTAGTGGTAGGCCTACCAGTTTCCTTCTTTTCTCAATTTGTCTTATTTTTAGGAACATGTGGAGTAATTAGAATCAACTAAGAAGCACTGGAAATCTTGATAAACGTTAAGTTAGTCAGAGGAAGTTATAAGAGATGCTGATTTTTCTACTATACCTTATGTGAGAAATTTCCTTAGAAATTTTACTCTTTTTTTTATTTTTGCATTCAAACCTGCGTACATTCAAATAGTGTATACCTTTTGCCACCATTTGTAGAGCTCTGCCAATTTTCTAAAGCTTCACTCAGTTCTCTTCCCCTATATCTTTTTGTTCAGGCATGACCTTAAAAAAAAAATACATCAAAAACCTCCTCTCTGTCACCTTGTGAGCTGTTGTGTGTTGGTCCCTCTCCAAATCTTTCTCATGAGCCTCTCCTTTCATCTTCCACTTTCAAAGGCTTTTGTCTCTTGTGAGACTAAAATGACAACACATTCTCCAGTATCTTTCATATGCAATAAATGGGGAAGGAAGAAATACATAATCCTTTTTCCACCTTTGGTATCTGCCGTCTGTCTGTCGCCTCTCTTTATGCGATTTAAAAGGCGAGCTGAAGTGACACAGAAATGCTATGACAATCAAATACCATAAGCTGTTCGCTGATGATAAAGAAACTACAAGGGATCAAAACAATTGACATGTGCTTGTGTTAAGGCTGTCGAAATGATACCAGGAAAGCAAGTGAAGAAATGCTCCCTGGACTCAGCGGGAATTGTATTTAATTACCAAACAAACAACTCAATGGCTAAAAAAAAAAACAAAACAAAAAAAAAACAACAGAAAACAGGGTTACTTTGAAGTGCAAGTAGTGATGTTTTATTTTATGACTATTGACAGAAAGTACCAGTGATTCTTTTCTCCTTTAATAACATTTCTAAAACTACTGTTTAGTTGGAAACCGATAAATACAAAATATTACATTTTTGTTTATTTATAAATGTCCTTCAGAAAACTGAAAAAAGTCGATCGATTTGAGATGCACTCAAAATGTTACGTTTGCGCTGGAGAACATATTAACCAAACTCGCCTGTATAGACCTTAATTAGTCAATTGATCTTTGTTTGCTAAGGTGTATGCACACCAGGAAAGCACTTTGGTCAGACCCTGGAGGAAAACAAACTTGGAAGTCCTACTAAAGTCTTTTCTGTTGTGCACATTTGTGCTTTCACTACAACTGTAATATCGTTTCAAATGTCAAGAGCATATCATACCATGCTTGTTTCGCAGTGGAATTTCTAATTTTGGAAACGCACGCTGTGAGCTGAATGAGAAAGATGCTCTGCGTGCCCTTACCCACATCACGCTGGCAACGGCATCAATAAGCAGAAAACAGATCGGATTTCAGTACAACCAATACATGCTGCACTAGCGTAAGCAACGCTGAAGGTCTCGTTTTCACTCAGATGCCCAGAAAACGGTGGCATGTGAAGTCCAAAAAGGCTCACGTTTTCTGTGGTTGGTTCGGATGGAGGCCAGTCTGTGAACTGCACCAGTTGGTGCAGATGTTTGGTCTGCACCAGGTTTCACTTGAGTGTATTCACACACTAGGGCAATGCTATTCACACACATGCAAATCACACCAATAAAAAAAAAAAAGAAAAAAAAAAAGGTAAAGTTTGCTTTTGGTTTCACTCTGGTTTTTGATCAAATAAAATAAAAACTACATCTTAAACTCAATCTGTGAAACATTTTATCCTCAAATGTAAAGTATTGAACAATGTGCCGAGTTCCTTGAAATTAAGTTGTGTTAACTGTGTTGCGTTAACATTTTTACTTCCCAATAAACGTACACTATTAGCATGTTATGCTTTAGGGTGGATCTGATCTGATCTATAACTGTCAAAGCAGTTTTCTCTTACACCAGCTGGCCTTTGCACATTACTTTACTGGCAGCCATGAAATGAGTGCGTCGCTTGTAAATATTGTTCATTACCTTTAAGGGATTTGTTGGACGAGTGCCCAGTTACACATGAGCATTTTAAGCTTTCATGAGTTAAGGCTTGAGACACAAAGGCAGCCCTGCTCTGGACATCTTGAAATCTTCAGGACCCGGAGACTTTATGATCAAGTGAAACTGATCATAGCAAAACAAATATTTATGAAAAATAGACAAATAAATTGTGCTGTATCTGGATTTATTTATTGTAACTTATACATTTACGAATAGGAAATTTAGAAATCGAATACGAGTGAGTAATTTATTTAATCTGACTGGGAAGTTTAAAAAACGCTGGGAAAACTTTACACACGCACCGCATCTTCTATAGAGAGATCGATGGAAATTATCTTGTACCGGATTTGTAGAGAAACATTACTGCTTGAATCGTTCAAGCAGTAATGTTTTAAGGAAATATCAGGTACTTAAGAAAAAGGGAGAGCCAGTTAAGACATCCTCTATCGATCGCGCCAACTTTAGGTCAAATGGAAAACCCTTCGACACGGGGAAATGGGAGGTCAGACTGAAGGCGTTATCTTTGCTACATCTCTGTTCCAGGACATCTGATTTTGATGCTATCAGTTCCAAGAATAGCCTGGTCAGGAGATGATACAAAAGGTCCTCTTCATTAGGAGAGAGCCTGCCACAGTGAAAGAAAGCTCCGACTGTTTTCCACTGCAGAGATGTAACAGAGAGAAGAAAAAACAAAGCAGAAATATAATAAAATCCAACCGCTGCTAAGGCAGCAGCTATAAATAAAACAAAGGTCCCTTAAAGAATAGTTGTTTCCAATCATGTTTTAGTGCTCTTTCTGCCATTGTTATACTATCATGCATTGTTTGCATCATGCTTTACAATTCTGTGTACAATGTGTGGATAATCCTTGGCAAGTCAAAGCGGTACACACAATTCTAAACAAAAGAAAAACTTGAAAAAAAATAAAAATCCTTCACCTCACAGACAAACAGAAATATTTGGCTGCTTCCAGCAGACCTCAAAACTATGTAGATTTAAGGACACTAAAGTTTATCCATCTACATGTTGGAGACTTATTTTCCGTAGCATTGCTTTATACTGTTTTTCCATCCGACACGAGTCAAATCGCTGGGACATGAGCCACATAATCACATAGGCCACAGTATTATTTCCACAACACAATATCTAAAAACTATGCTTAGCTGTGATACACGCCTGCATAATCTTTCCAAATATTTGTTCAAATTGAATTAATAGCACCAATAAAAAGTGCAAGCATGTAGTCAAATACAGAAGACATGATGGCGCAGTTGTGTATTTTTGTGCTGCAGTTTTCGACATCTACCATCCCCTGATCCTGCTGCAATAATCAGCACCGACACAGGCAGGCAGACTATAATCCCCATTGATTAGAAACCCAAGATCAAAGGCTTCCACTGCCGTCGCTCTCACCTCTTCTCTCAGTTCAGTGCAGACTTGTCTCTTTCCATACTCTCCCTCTCTCCATCTGTGTTGGTCTTTGCTCACTTTTCATGAACGAGTATAAACAAACAAACAAACAAAAAAACTACTGAACTGTTTAAAGAAAAAACACATTTGACAAGGTGGTCATTTTTTCCCCGACTGTTTTTGGGGGTTTTAACAAAAAAAAAAAAAAGTACTTGCAGCATAAACAGAGTACAATAGAAATATCCTTCCATGTCCCTCAGTGGGTTAAATTCAGGAGAACCAGAAGCAAAGTGAGAGACAAATTTAGGCCGTTAGCCTAACGATGTACTTGCAACAAGCTGATCCAGGAGAACACTCATATGTTTTGCGCTGTCATGGCAGAAAGAGTGTACATGTCGATACCATCTAAAGTACTCCACACCAAATCAATGCAAGAATGGCTGGTAATGATGACGGGTAAGAGCTTGAATACCTCATTCGCTTGTACTTAATCAGTTGTGTGAAAATTTTTCACACTCGCCTTTAGTTACGGGTGTAAGTAAGCAGTAAACATATGACAAGTTCAAAGGTGTGCAATCACTATGGTTTACAGCTAACTGTGACATTTAATAAATGCAATTAAATATGCACAATACACAATAAATAAACAAGTGCCATCTGGTGTTCAGTGTGAGTGTGAGGTTATGGCGGGGAGTTATGTAATGATTTTTAATTTAAAATGGTTCAGGACAAATTCATTTAATACAACCAAGATAAAGGAAGTCAAAGGAAGCTCTTTGATGTATGACCAGCAATTCAGACTTTCAGAGCATTGTAACCTGTAAGGCGTGGTTGAGTTAAGGTCTTTTAAAAGAAATCAATTCAAGATCAATTCATTTAAAATTAAATCCAAATCTACTGATAATCAGAAACAGAAAACAACATTCACTTAATTGCGGAAAATTAACGGATTCAAGACGAGGATTTATTCTGTTAGTGGATTGTTTCCTTCTGTTTATCAACAAGAGGAGCAAGAAAACAGAAAGGCTGACACTGATTCAACAGCTATTCTGGTTTCTGTCCTTCCTCTTGACTCACCATTATCTTTAATTACCATCCCTCACTCTGCTACTATTGACAGCCTCTAATTATTCCATTACAACAGCAGAGAAGTTTATTCCCTAAACTGTTAACCTGCTTTACTGTCGTTTATATCTCCACAAAACAAATCTCTAATCAAATCAGAAGTCAAATTAAGATGCGATTACCGTTTTCTAGCCTTATATGTTAAAGATCAAAACACTCATAAACTATGCTTGGTTTATATATTAAAAAAAAACAACAAACAAACAAACAAAACAACCTTATTTTGCAGACGGAAATAAATCCAAAACCTCTAGTGAAAACACCTCTATCTGATGAATGTGTCACTTTAATAGGAACGGTTTACAGAAGCTTCGATGCCACAAAACTGTTAGATCAGCACTACAGAGACAAACATAAACTTTTAAATAAACCTTAAAAGTTTAAGGTTTTAAACCTTAAAGTGGACCATTTTTCTATAAAATGTGTAACATGCCAGTAAAACAAATCATTGCACTCTGGTATTATCCACTGAGCCATAAATTAAATGACTGCATTAAACAGAAAGAGGTGATTAATATTCTCGTGGCAATACCATTTGTCCTGTCTGACTGTATGATAAACAGTCAGAGGCTCTACACCATAGGCATCTGATGTTAATCCTCTTAATAGAAAAAAAAAAAATAACATATTTAATCTCATTATCCATAAAATTACTAATAAAAAAAAAAAAAACATGCTTTGAACTTTCGTGCCTGGGACCCCTGATAATCTCCGATTAGAACTTGAAATCTGTGTGAATTATCTCCCTCATCCAGCATGCAAACATAACAGGTTTCAGGTCTATTTTGTCAGATCCATGAGCTGAAAATTTAATTAACAGATTAAGATTACCAAGCTGCTTCACCCATGAGTAATTAAGAAAGGTAATGCATCACACTCCCAGTGCAGAAAGAGCTAATGAAACACAGTGATTGATTTCTACAAGAAGTATCATGTGACAAGCTAAAACAGCTCAGAGATTTCTTTAACGAGGGAGTCGGCTAACTGTGCTAAAACAAGCTAGCTGACTCTCCGGAAAATTAGCATAAGTCATTAACCCTAAAGCAGCTGCTGTTGGGATTCTGCATATTCTTTAAGTAGGTGGAGTTTTAATTGTTTGTCACAAAATAATGTGGGCTGAGGATGTAGGCTCTCTTTATTTGTTAGTCACAAATAAGGAAAGCCTTTATGTGTAGCCCTACACCCCCATCTGCTAGCCTTCTCGTTTTGTGCAGCCACACAAACAAAATTAAAAATATGCATACAATCCAGGATGTATGTAATGAAACCAGATATGCAGGTCATAAAAGACATTCTCACTGTATGACATTAAATAGGGTTAAACCTTTTTTTTTTTTTTGTTTTAGATCAAGCAAAAGTAATAATATATTTCATTTTTGTTAATAAAACAATGAGAAATATTTTTGTATCATTTTTTACAGGAGCACAGACGCCCCCTTTTGTCTTCTACTAAACCGACAATTGAGTATTCTGTGTTATAGTTAAGGAATTTCAAACACCGAGAGAGAGAAAAGGAGTGATTGAATTTCTGATCAGAATGATAACTGGTTTATTATCTGTGATCAGTAACAAATGGAGAGGAAGTAGCTAGAAAGTGACTCTCTCTTTGGCATTTCTCTCCAAGTGTTTATTAGCAGCGCGTTTAATAATCGAAATAAACTGGTCACAAATGCAAAATCTGATATTCATTCTGTATTGTAGATTCTTATTTGGTCAAACAAACAGGTTGCTGCTGTGTGCGTCTACACAGCCGCTAAAAGAACAGTTGTGCAGAAACGTTTTAGTTGCCTCGCCCTCAATGACTGTGAAAATGGGTCCTTCTAAAACACTGTTATCAAGTCACATAAGAGAAGTAATAAAGTAATTTGCAACTGAAGGGGATAAAAGCAAAATTTAATTAAAAAAAACATCATTCTTCATTAAAGGATTTAGTTAGGAAAATAAAATTCTCCTGTACCAGGGGAAATGCTGGATTGGTTTTGAGGGTTTTCTGATGTTAAAATTAAGGTGACATGGTCTAGAGATTTTCACACAACAGTGCCTTAAACACGTCACCCCATTGGGGAATTTATTTTCTTCCCACCCATTTGATTCAACAAATATATATTTTGTAAGTGTGCATAACAGTCTAATATATCCAAATTAGCAATATTATGTGTGTATGGTCGTATGCATTTTAAGGACCAGTTTCCTAACACACATTATGTTGTGGGGACCCACTGCTCCTATTGGGGTTACAGGTTTGGTCTAGCACTAAAAGAGACAGAGAGAGAGAGACCCCGCTACAGTGTCTATACACGTAGGTGTGTGTATGTATGTGTGCAAGATACCTTTATTTCCGTGGGAACCTTGTTATCTTGTGACTAAGGTCCTTCTGTCACTGCACCTTTCCAAGACAAAGGGATATTACATTAGAATAATAGAAATTACACATTTGAACTGCTCTCTGCCTGATTTAAAAGTAAAACACATGATAGAAATGATGTGAATTTAAATATTGAGGTTAAGGTTACAAAATACTATCTCCATTCCCTCCCTTTCAAAGGCAAATACATTGAAAAGGCTCACAAACAGGGAGAAAAAAAAAAAAAACAGTTCACAGAGGCCTACACATCTACACCTTCCCCTGCTGAGGTAGAAAAAGAGCACACAGAGACTCCACTTTCAGCACAGAAAACAGGAAAAGTGCTCATTTGTTTTCTTCATCTCATGTACTGCTGGGGATTTGTGTTGCAACACGCCTCTCGAGGTGCTCTCACTGAAAAACAACCAAAAAAAAAAAAATAGTGCCCACGCAAATACAAAAGAAAGCCCCGTCTGCACACCACCGTTCCACTCATGTCCAGTAAGATATGGAGACATTATTTCCTCTTACGAGCTCCAAGGTTAATTCTTCTAAAGACAAAAGAAATCATTTCATTACCAAATTCTTCCAAGAAAGAAACCTGATTGAATCAACAAGAAGGTAAGCTCTGTACTTAGTGTTTGAAGCACTAAGTACAGAGTGCGGGATTTCTCTGAGAACAACAAAGAAACAAAGCAGTAAGTCAAAATCAACAATACAAATTGAAAAACAGTTAGGAAAAAAAGGAATACTGTGAAAAATTATGCAAATTCCTTGGAGGTAATGGGTAACAAAAAACCAGAATCAAATATCCAACTCAAAGCCCGTGGGAACTGCCTACTTCAAGCGGTTTAGATTCACAGAATTAGAGATTAAAAACCCTCCAAAGGAACTTGAACAAATGACAATGTAATGTTTCTTCAGTCTAGTCACAGAGTTGGCTTACAACTACAACTGAACAACACTTTTTAATAGTTTAGATCATTTATTTGAAAGTGTCATTAAAACTGAAAAGGTTTTCAAAAGGAATAGCCATGTGGTACGCAGCAACAGCTGTAAGCATATATTTTCAAAGCTTTTAGACACAAGTCAGTTGTTGAAGAAAAGCTGAAAGATGCCACATACTAATTAAAATGTGTGCGATGTTACAAAAACTTCAAATTGCTTTGAGATTATTAAGAGAAATATACTTTTAGAAAGCATTGTCTGCAGTAAGAAGTCTGCAGAGAGGTGCAGCTGGTAGGACTGTTGCCTTGCCACAAGAAGGTTCTGGGTTCGAATCCCGGCCTCTCTTTCATGTACTCTGGGTTCTTCCTAGAGCCCTTAAATATGACCACGCCTCTAGTCCAATAAAAGGCACCTCTTCTCTTGTTACAGTTGTTAAAGTTCATCGGTTTTGCCAGCCTTGACCACACTTTTCTTGTAAAATCCTCAAATTTCCCCACAGTGTTGAGGTCGTGGTCCTTAACTTAATGTTAGCCAGTTGTAGCCCTTCCAAAACACAAGTTTCAATTTGTGTTGGAGCACCCATTTGTGTCCAATTTTCAACCGTCTGACACAAACTGTCACCATGAAATGAAAGGAAATTGGTTTGGACATTCAAACATTGGTTTGAAATCTTGAACCTGTCAAGCTGCTAAAACACCAGCATCGTCATCCACAGAGAACTGAATGAGAGAGGACAGACTAAGAAAGAAGGTAAATCGTTTAGGCAGTGGGTCGCACTGCCAAGTCAAATGCCTCCTGGCGAAATGTTTAGATCAGGAAAAAAATTTGAGCTATTAAGCCACAAAAGGTAGAGACATGCTTGGAGAAGAAAAGACGATGTTTCAGACTTTATAAAAAAAAAATAGTTGTCAAGCTTGATGATGGTTTTTTTATCGTTAGTGCACCGTATAGATTACAATAAACTAAACCTTATTAGACATTTATTAAAATAATTATTGCAGTTGCACGTTTTCATTCCAATCAAAAAAAGGCTCAAATCATTTTTTAAAGCACCAAATTGAAGCCTATAATGAGTGTAAGTACGTTTCAGACCACAACTGTATGCAGTCACGCACACACAGCCACTTTTACTGTATTTGCAGTCGTACTGTGAGAATACACAGTTACATGTGGACCACTTCTTCCTCTGAGTGCTTTGTAGCTGTGGAAGCAACTCAGAGGGAGACTTTTGAATGTGAATCTTATTATTCTCCTGCTGTTTATTTCCTGGACCAGGAGCAGCTGAAGAACGCCGTTATTGCAAAAGGTAGGTGCATGAATAAAAAATATAAACAGCAGAAAGAAATGCACTTTTTTTTTTTCTGTGTCTTGAGTACAACCAAGCAATAGCACCAATCCAAAGGCAGACAGGTGGACTGAATGTGTTCTTGACTGAGGTGGAGATATCATGAAGCAAAACTTGAAATAAAAAACTATGGTCAAAATCTGGGAAGACAAAAAAAAAAATCACAATTTGACAGTTATTTCTCACAATGAGATAAATTTAATATAAATCTGAAACTTATTAAATGGCCACATGGTAAAACAGTCATGTTTACATAACCATTGGGTCATGGAGAGATGGATGGACAAACGGTTATATGTATTGATATAAAATTATCAATACATATAACCTATAAAACAAGATATAGGTTTTATCTGAAAATTATATTTTACATTATTTATTTATAAAACTATAATAACATATTTTTGAAAAATGAAATATTTAAAATATCTCTAAGATTGATTTTGATGGTTCTACATAATTTGTTTTATTTTCAAACTATATTGATATTTAAACATGATAGTGATTCCTTACTGAGAAGAAGAAACTGAAAACATTAATGTGCAAAGTTCACTAGTGGTAAAAAGAAATTCACAACAAATGCAGTTGGATGTATCAGAGTACACCCTAGGGTCATTTTGCAGGATATTGAATTTAATATTAAAGAGTTGGATGCAATGGAAATGTGATTTTGTACAGGATCAAACACAAAAGACCTGAAGTCCTCAGATGCTGTTCCTGGTCAGTGAAAACACACAAAGAACAAAGAACTACTTAATGCATTTTACTGTCTCTAGCCTTAAATCTCAAAGTATCGAAGCCCCCCGAGCCACTACATAAATCATATTGGCTTATTGAATTTAAAATATATGAAATATCACGGATGATAGATAGTTGGTATTTAGGCAAGATGGCACATGGCCATTCTTTGTGTGTGTGTGTGTGTGTGTGTGTGCGTGAACTAGAGAAACGAAGCAAAAAAAGTGAGAAAGATTGAAAGACACTCACTCCATCGCTCGCTCAAACACGCAGACACAAACATGTTACTGTACTCCACAGCATGTTCAGACTTTATAGGAATCCGCCTCCAACTGTGATTTTTTTATATATATATATTTTTTTTTTTTTCACAGTAGACAATCCTATTCCTTGTTGATGCAGCAGATGGATTACCTCCCACCAGTCATTTATCAACTGCCATACCAAAACCTGCCTTTGCCCTCTTTGCGCCAGTGAAAAATTGGTTCCAGACCCTCTTTTTCCACCAGAAAATAAAAATCATTTAGTGCGTCGTCAAATGGGTCTCAGTGCGTCGTCCACTGGAGCGATTGAGCAGAAAAGGGTTTTATTTCATTGTCTGTTTCAAGTGAGGAGGTGCGGATGGCAAGAGGCAGGGAGAAAACAGAAACTTGCTGTGATCAGTGTAAAGTGAACACAATAGAAAAACTTCCTTAGTTTCCTTTAATCCCATCAACTGGAGTTGTAGATGCTTCAAACAAAATTTGTCAGCAAAATGGTTACAAGAGTTCTAAAAAATGTCTTTAGATTAAATACAAAGACCTGAAGCCAGTTAATGATTCAAAGAATTTTCTAAACTTAAAAAAAAATCTATATAAAACAATACGATGTTCTTCCTGTGCATACAAGGCTTCTCACCGGGTACTTCGACTTCCTCCCACAGTTCAAAAACATGTCTGCAAGGTTTATTGGTCTCTCTAAATTGTCTTTAAGTGTGACTATGTTTGTGCTGGGGTGTTGCCTGATGATGGACTGGCGAATATGCTCCACCCTCCTGGAGATCTGTCTTTCAAACCTGACTTCTGGTTTGAGTTTGACTTTATTGAACGTAGTGTAATAAAAGAATAAAAGCAAGATACAAACAAAATAAATGTAAAACAAAAGTAAACAAAAGAAAAATGACAGTAAAATAATATTTGCACGCTGATAGGAGTGGGTAGTAGCATGAACTTATTTTTACACCCACCCCTCTTACATCATCTAGCATCATCCAATAAGCCATCATTCATGTTAACTTGGCTTTTACAGTTTCAGCGTTTTCTTTGTCTATATCTATAACTGGTACAGTGCATTCACAGTTGAATGCCCTTTGAAGCAAGCATCATTTTTAACATGTTTGAAAGACAGATGCGTACATAATGATCATCAGGTCTGAGTATGTTAATAAAATCCACAGCCGATGGCATGATATGGGAAGCCTCCCTTCTGTCAGACGGCCCCTAGGGCAGCTGTGGCTATTATCCAATAGCTTGCCATCATCAGTGTGTGAATATGTGCGTGAATGGGAATGGCTAATTTCATTGTAAAGCATTTTTGAGGGTCCTGGAAAGTGTTGTGTACGACTGAAGTAATTTCATTCATCCTCCAATTAATAAGCTCCCCACATCTACCTCGGTAGTTCACAAAGACAGCCAAGTCTTTGTCTGAAGGATGCACTGAGGTGAGGGCTGAAGGTCTGGCAGTGGAAAATCCAGGTGGATGATTGGGATTGCGAAAGGAGCGTGAGAGAGACAAACGCAGCAGTTCTCAATCCGCTTCCTATTGACTCTCATTGGAGAGAGAACATTATCAGCATTGCAGACCTTAGGGAGTATAAGCCTGGGCATCTCCCTGAACTTCAAGAGGAACCGTTCTCTGGTCCTCTAGAGGAATCAGCTTAAAAACCCAGTTAACCGAGGACATTAAAGCAAAAACATGATGATATGTGCTGTAATAATTAGATAGTGCATTAACTCCAAATGTTCTGATTGAAAATTAAGGAGATAATTAGAAGCTCTGAAGTGATGAACTTCAAGAGAAGCAGGATAAGAACAGGGTACTAATCCTTTAAAATGTAATTAAAGACATAAACATGGCTGTACACTTTATAAAGAGCATGTATAAACATTGTGGTAATAATTCAAGATAAACAGATGCGTGCATGTACGCCTCTCTATCTAAAAAATATTCACCTGAGGCAGAAATTATGCTTTAAGACAGAAATATAGATATCAGATCACATCCACTTGTGTACGCTGAAAGCAAAATTAATGATCTTTCACCTGTGCTCCACTTGTTATAGTGAAATATTTTTCCTCCCTCTGTTAAGTATTTTAAAAAATGACTGAATGAAAATTGGCGTAAAAATTCAAAAAGAATCTTCACACTTTGCTAGAATTAAAATCCTTACATATGTTTGGGAACATATACAAATAACCACTGGGGGATATATTATGTACTATATATTTAGTAGCAGGTGAATTTGAAGTGAATGTAAAAACTGCATGCTAAAAAAAAAAAAAAAAAAACTGAACGTTTTTTTTAGGTTTCCAGGTACCCTGCTTGCCAAAAAAAAAGATTGAAAAACAACAGCAGCAGCAGGCTTTTCACAGAGTGTCATATCTAACCATGTTCACAGAGAGTTGAGTTAGAAAAGGTGCAAAACCACAGGAATAACCACCACTATAAGAGAGACGTGAGGCAAAGCCAGATGAAGAGTTTGGTGTAGATTCAAACGATATCAAGTGAGAATGGGATAAAAACTTTTGAGAGTCACTGCAAAAAAAAAAAAAAAAAAAAATCCACAATCAGAGATGGTTTGGAGACTTCCTCGTCTGCTAGTCAATTCGAAAATCAGTACAGTCACCTACCATGAAATGTTAAAGCACACAAAGGATTATCGAGAGGAAGATGTGAGAAAGCAGATCCAACAAAGTGTGCTTCCTTCATACCCCAGCAGCCCCACAAGCTGACTGGCTCCATGCCACGTTCATGTGGTCAGTCATACAAAATGAGTCCTGGTCGCCAAATACTGAATGTATTTACTGTATAACATTTACCTTTCAGTGGGCTGCAATAGAACGATTCCGCATTAAAAGTCTTGATTTTGTTGTTTTTATATAATATTACATTTTTTGAAGAAATTTAATTTTATATTGCTGCTACCTGAAAGCCAAATGATTTAATTTGCCACAGATAAAATGACTGATATCACTGTGTGTTTGTTTAATGAGTATCTATAATATCCGAGTTTCAAATTTTCAATGAAATTATCTAAATAAATTAGCTAGTCTTCTCGATTAAGATGCACAAGAGACAAAGCCCTTGTTTTCCCATCAGCTGGAGATTTTTAAAGGAGTTTTAAAACAGCATGGCATAAATGTTAGCAAAGGCTGGATTGCCATTTCAACAGCGTCGTTATTCACACTTCTGGAACAGAAAATAGCACAGAAACAATCAATGAAGCATATAATTTATGCGTTAATGTCATCACAAGAAATGTGTTGACATAAAGATGAGTTCTCATATACTTTAAAAAAAACATGTTGACTAGCTTTGGTTCATTCATTTGACGGAAGCTGTCAAACTAAAAACTGTATATTGCTGTCACGTTTTAAGTACAAACAGTTAAAGTTGATATTCCTTTTCCTAAGCACACTTATTTTTTCGGTGAAATTAGTTCAGTAACACACATTAATACTTATTGAAATATCAGTCACACACTGCAGTAGAGAAAGAAAGATGTTTGCTTAATTATTACAGCTGCGTATGAAATAAATCTTTTCTTCTGAGCAATACACTTCCCGATAATCTCAAAAGATGGCCCTGCTTGCCAATGAGCAAAGCTGCATTTGCAGAGCGAGAGGAAGCTTTGATAAAAGTTTTTCTATTACCTAGGTTATTCAAGCAAATCCAGTGTATGAACTGTGCATGTTTCATTGATTTCTGGGAGCCTTTTCAGACATTTAAAAATCATCTCCTTGAAAACAGTTTGCTATATTGTTGCCTGTAAACCAGTGAGGTTTTCCATAGGAAGTAGGATTTAGTCAAACTAGAAGAATGAGGCAAATATCTGCGATTCCCACGGCTGAATTTAATACACAACAACAACAACAACAAAAGCTGAAGTGGTATTACAGCAGGTGTTTCATATATTAAAGATGCAGTTATGTTGTGGGGTTGTGATTAAATTAAAGAATCTTGGTCCGACTGTGCAAAGGAAGTCACAATCAATACAAAACTCATTAGTCTAGTCACACAGTAATCATGTGTACCAGGAGATCTGCAAGACTGGGCAGACAATGTAAAAGATAAAATAATTTTTTATGTAACAGTGGATGGAAATAAGAATGGAAAAGACACAAACAATAGACTTGCACAGGTGCACGATATCGCAGATTTCTAACGACACAAGAATAGTAAAATTGTAAAAAACAAAAAAAGCTTTTGGATTGCAAACAAGATGACGTGATGAATCAACAAGTGACCTCACACACAATCCATCCATCTCTTTTCCACATTTTCTTACTTTTTTTCTGGACTGGAAACATAGGAAGAAATTATCTGCATATTTTTGCCTTATATATAAATAAAAAGTATGAGTCAGAGAAATCTAGAAATAAATAACTTATAATGTCAACAGTGGAAATTACAACTAGGTTTGGATGAAAAGAGATTAAGAAGCATAATTTCAGGAATTTCAGAACAAAACAAAAAACCTTCAGCCTCTAAAACAGGAAATATTTTTAGCAAGCTTTGGCTAAGCTCCGAATATCTCAGGAGGATGGCTGTGGTACATGAACTGTCTCTGTGATTAATTACTGACCAGTTGAAGAACATTTAATAGCCCTACCACAAGATCATAAGCAGTAAGGAGATTTAAACAGTCTGCACTGTACGTCTCTTTGTTTGTAACTGTGCACAGGAGGCCAGGGATTTCTGAAGCAAATCTTTTATCTTTTAGATTGATCAGTGGCTATTTATTTTCCATTATGGAGTGATGCCAAAATCTAGAAGGAAACCTAGTTCTCTAAAGCAAGTGCTGTCCAACGCCGGGTATTTGGACTGCATGTACTTTCAGTAGGAGATCTAGGATGCGCACATTCACACACAGGTCAGTGTAAAACGTTGCATCAAGTTACTAAAATAGAGATGGGCTGGCCCTGAATCAGCTGAAGGAATGAAATTTGGGACATTGTTTTAATGTATGCCGTTCTGCAAAAACTTGAGTTTGATTTAGTTCTCTAGTTGTGTTGATGCAAAATGGTTCTGTTAGAGACGGGACTTCATAGTACTGTTAAATATTTAAGTCCTTTAAATACATACAGTATACAAACACTCATTCATGTCTTTTAGCCTGCTAATAATCCTGTTTTGTGCTGCAGTCAATCTGAAACTGATCTCTAGTGTTCGTCGTTTTTAATTCATTCGTGTAGGAAATTCTGTGAAGGTGGCCACTGACTGAAGCTTTTAGTTTCACAAATTAGATGTGGAACCTGTCCTTTTTGCACCAAGGTGCATTTTGGCGTTTTACTAAATGGGGGACACCGTGCCCAATCATACAGCCAAATCTACAAAAAGACAGACATAGCTGAACAAAATACAAAACTGTTGGGTTCCTGTCAGAGTCAGGAAACAAATTTCCTACAAATAAGATTTTTGTAGGAATCATATTTGATTTGAGCGTCAACATCAAATCACCTCCTGTCTTGGTCTATATTTTCAGTTTAGCCACTAAAATATGAGTAGATCTCCTTTTAAATGTAAAATATATTACCATCATGAGACACTGTTGGTGGCAGCCAGCCTGGAGAAAATTAAATTATTTGATAGAGTAATATAAAACAACAAAATCTATGGCAGATTCTTTCAGTTATTTTTATCATTCCTTTGTACACTTTCACGAGTTGCATTCCCCGTTCGGTGATCCTAATGCAATGATATCTGTTCTTCAGAGAACAAAGATCAAGGTTGCTGTATTGATTGTTTTTTTTTGTTTTTGTTTTTTTTTTTTTTTTTGGGGGGGGGGGGGGGGGGGTTCATGAAAAAAATCTGCTGCTTTTGGTGCCATCTTCCTAACTGAATCAGCTCCAGCAAACATTTGTGAGTTCACGCACGCCCCTCAGTGACAGATAGCTATGGCCACATAACGTGATACTTGATCATTTGTTATTGTGCCTCTATTGATTTGTGTGTAATGCGGCGAAACAAGTCTTATTCAGGAGCATTTCCACAGCATTCAACCTCACACTTCTCTGCTCATTTAAACAAAACGAGACGCTTTGTATGTCGTCTAAGATGCTGAATAGACCGAAATGCGTGTTTGTGATCTGGAGCAACACGGAGAAACGAGACAGAAACATGACAATGGATTCACTGTGTCAGCCATACTGTAGAGAAAAGAAAAGAAACAAAAAAATAAAACATCCTGCTGATAAACAAAGCAGTACATTATTCAATCAGTAGGAAATTCTACAAAAAGTCATTCTCACCAGGGGCCGATTCCAAGTCGAGTTGGTATGCTGCCAGCTCGACTTGGAAAAATGGCTTTCTGCAGCCTGAATCACTACAGTAACCTAGACTAATTAAGTAAGCAGCCTCAGAGAGGTTTGGATGTCTAAATGTTTCCCTTGACCACTACAATACTGTCTACAAGCTGTGGCTTGAATAATGACAAACATTTGCCAGCTGTAAACACAATTTGCATACATTTAGTTGCACTTTTCCGACAGGAAGCTTGACTATGCCGTTGTACAGTTTTCTTACCTTTTTAAAAACTTAAGCCATACAATATAACTGGAAAATGTGTGTTCTTGCCTTTGAGCTATTGAATCCTATTCTATTCGTATGCAGTGTATTTTATATTAAAAGAACAAGACCTGACTTACTTTAGGTCACCAACTTAATTTTTTCTGTCATTTAGGCAACAATAAAGGCAGCTTTGGTAATAGTATTTCAACTCAAAGGAAATCTTTCTACTACCTAAGCTATTATGCTTTTAATGAATAATAAGAGCTCATCATCAAACTGGGATTTCAGTTAATTTAAACATTCAACTGGTTTTTGCAAATGTTTGTGAAACTTTCAAAGTTTTCTGTGTCTTATTAAGAAAGAAGCCTTTCAGCATAATTATTGTTGGCCGTTTTATTGTAATGAAAATAAGAGTCAAACACTCCACTCAACTGCGTCTCACCCACAGAAGGAAAAAAAAAAAATACGCCCTGCAGTTTGACAGTAAATAAAGCAAATTAGAGCTTCCTTTGAATTAGAATTGTGAAGGGTTTTAACTAGATAATGAGAGCCTCTTAACACTTAAGCAGTAAAGCAAGTAATTGCTTTTTCATGGACTCATATTTTGAATTTCCATCATGTGGTGAGACTAACAAAATCCAATCTCACGGATAGCAATTAAACTCTTCAGTGAACTTCTGACATGGTTCAGTTCCAGCGTAATCGCATAACTTACTGTGATCCATACTTAATTTCCCTTCAGGATGTCAGGAATGTCTTCAGTGTGTAGAATAGCCTCCGTTCTGTTAAAGGCATGTCCTGCTGTCATGTTCGGTGTCGGCAGTTATGAAGACGACTCATTTGCAGTGGCGTGCGAGCACACCAAGAAATACGTTTGCAATTTGGTTGCCTTTTCCCCCCTCTCTGGAAATTTAGATCAGAAAATACGATAGCAGCAAACCACAGTGAAATGATTCCATACTTGTTTTCTTAAAAGTGTGTTATTCGCAATTTCAGGATTATAAAAATCTGTTGATTCACAGATTTAACAAACGTAATAAATATTGTTGCATTTCCAACACGTTTTCTGTAACTATTCTCTTAAATATATTTCTCAACAAATTTATCTTCTGTTTCAGATTGATTTCAACATTTCCAGAAACTAAATTTGTATAGAATTGAAATCAAGTGCTTCGAGTAAGCTTGAATTCCCTATGCCACTGAAACTCTTTGCTTCTTCAATGAATCTCCACACACTCTGTAAAGGAAACACGCATGTTAATGCTGTGACAAGCATTTTGAAAGGTCTTGAAAGATTAAAATCCAAAATTATAATTAGTCTTTGCATAATTTTCAGCTGATTGCAGTGCTTAAAAATGTTGTGCATTCCATTTCTGTTTTTTTTTATATATATATATACATACATACAACAAGCTGGAATTGATCATTGACATACAATCTATTGCATTGGGTAAAATATAGCAATTATCCTCATCATAACATTTATGAACCAACTGATAATGTTTACAAACCTCCAGAATCTGGTTCCATGACTGGGTTTGTTTCCCGTTTCTGTTTTAGCTACTCTTTCTCAATGTTGGATGCCTTAAAGCATCGATGGACAATGCATTAATGTTTCAAAATGTGACTGACTGCATTGATTGTGTTCTGTGCACAGTTGCATAGCTAAATCCAACTATTCCTGTTAGGACCAACTTTTGATAATGAATATATATATTTTTTTTCAAGTTATGTCTTCATGCAGTAAGATTTAAAGCCAAAATTAAAGCTCCGAGGAGCCTCATGCGGCCCTTGCAGCCAAGCGCCGCTC